GGGAGAGGGAGGAGGAACACGGAAGGCCACAGCAGGCAAAGTCACATACATGCTCAGGCAAACAACAAAGTGGGAGGACATTCAAGGTAGAGGAGGACATTCACAGAATAGGACAATTGGGACAGAGACCGACATTCACAGAGGAGATTCAAACCAGAGGAGGCGACGATAAAGCCAGACAGGGCAGTAGACAAGACTCCAGGCAGAGGAGATGACTGACAACAGAAGAAAAACGTTGACAGAACAGAACAGAACATTTTAAGCAGAGGAAGAGGAAAAGATTCAGGGAAGAAGGAAAACATTTTTTAACAGGACAGAACGTTCAAATCAGAGATGGAGATCCGTGGCAAAAGAAAACATTCACAGAGGAGGACAATCGGGGAAGAAGACGATATTAAATAATAGGATAGAATGATATCCAAAGTAGAGGAGGAGATTTGGGGCAGGGGAGGACTTTCTGGGTAGAGGAGGCGATTCACAGAGAAGGAGATTCAAGGCAGAGGACATACACAAAGACAGACATCCAGAGACTGATGATAACAGAGAAAGACATCAAGGGGAGTGGAGGACATAGTTAAAATAGTACATTCGTGCTCATAAGTAAGACAGTCATGCTGCAGAGTAGAACATTTGTTTAAAGTAGAAAATTCATAGGACAGGACAGGACATCCCTGTCACAGATTAGGACATTCGTAAAAGAGGACATCCAGGACTCAGAGTGGGCCATTAGTATGCAGTAGAACATTCACAGAATAGCATATCTATGCTTTGAGTTTGGTTAATGTTTGTTTGTTTGAGTAAAGAGAAGCACATTGACACAATAATGGTCATTTAGTGCTGGGAAAAAGTAAGACACAGACAGAAACAAAAGAGGAAAAGTAAAGAAGTAGGACCTACCAGTAGCGCCCTCCAACCACCCACAGAGTTTGGTTTAAAAAGTCAATAAACAAAAGGAAAAAGTAAGGCAGACAGGCAGACCGTGGCACCGTTTTAACAGCCACGTTTATAGAATAGGACATCCATGCTATAGAGTAAGGCATTCATAGTTAGTGGATTAACTACACTACGGAGTAGGACATTCATAGAACATATAACTTCATGCTTCAGAGCAGGTCAGTCAGAGAGAGTAAAACATTCGCAAAAAATGACATTCATGCTTCAAAGCAGGACATTCAGCAAGAGTGAGCAGAAGCAGAACATTCGCAGAAAATGGCGCCAGTGCCACAGAGCAAGAAAATCATGGACACAGCCATGGCTCCGCTAGGGTTGAAATGAAAACCAATTTTTTTCAGTGCAGTGTGTTGGGAAATTTTCTCAATTCGATCAAACTTCCAAAACGTTTCAGTGCAAGCAAAAAATGCAAGTATGTGATTCAGAAAAACAACACAACTGTCAAATCAGACTCAACATATTCTTTAAAAAGCAGAAGAAAATCCTGAACGAAAATAGCAAGAATGGCAACAAAGTGCAGGAGTGCAAGTGTGTAGAAGGACAAGTTCCAAAGGTGATTACAAGTCCCAGCTGTCCACAACAAGTCACAGTTGTCCACCACAAAGTCACAGTTGTTCACTACAAGTCACAGTTGTCCACCACAAAGTCACAGTTGTTCACAACAAGTCACAGTTGTCCATCACAAAGTCACAGTTGTTCACAACAAGTCACAGTTGTCCATTTCAAAGGCACAGTTGTTCACTACAAGTCACAGTTGTCCATCACAAAGTCACAGTTGTTCACTACAAGTCACAGTTGTCCATCACAAAGTCACAATTGTTCACTACAAGTCACAGTTGTCCACAACAAGTCACAGTTGTTCACTACAAAGTCATAGCTGTTCAGTACAAAGTCACAACTGTCCACTACAAGTCACAGTTGCCCACTACAAAGTCAGAACCGTCCACTTCAAGTCCATTACAGAGTCACAGTCGTCCGACCCAGTTGTCCACTACTGTGATTCACGCTAGTTATTCAAAACAGTTTTCCATTACAAGTCTCTACGACAGTATTCCACGACAGTGACATGAAAGACACAATACACAATCATCAGATAAAAGACGCAATTGTCAGACGCAAGACATTGTGACAAGATCGACACAATGCACAGTCGTTAGCGAACTCTCAGGAAGTCGGGCAGCTGCATAACAAGGAAAGTGTCGGATTGGAACCCACGTGGTAAAAGAACAAGGGGAAGACCATGGGAAACCTGGAGAAGAGTCACAGAAGTTGATGTACAGAAAAGTGGGAAGTCATGGAATAACATCAAGAGGCTAGCCCAGGATAGGCACATCCCCTGATCCAGGGTGAGAAAGGCAATGATGATGACAGTTGGTAGATATTATGTAATGCTTACCTGCGGTACTGCAGGGTCTGCTGAGGCTTAGAGTGAGATGGACTAGCTGCTGGCTCATCAAAATCTTCATCGTCGTCATCGTCATCAGGTAATGCCTGAAGATAAAAAGAAAAGTTAACAAAAGGTGCACACCAGCTTATTTTGAGTCCTTTTTTCCCCTCCAACTTCCTTATCGAATTTAGTTTTAGTTCCCTCTCAAAATAATAGTTGAGCTTACATCGTTATGTGTTTGTGAGAGATATAACAATGTATGCTGTGAAAATCAACATCAGACTCAACGAAACCTCAGACTTCACAAAAGAAAGAAGAATCCCCATGGTCCCCCATAACTACAGTAAGTTAAGATCTCAAAAAGTTGCGAAGTCTGAACTAGTCTAATATGTTGTCAGTGGCATTAAGCAAAAGAAAATGCCTCTGTTTTAAAAGTTAACTACATCTCTATACGGCAGATTTGTTGTGAGTATTGTTTGTTTGAGTGAAGAAAAAAAGCACACTGACGCAAAAGGGAAAAGACACTCCTCAACACATCATGCCTTGTCGTGGCCTGTCACTCACCAGCTGGCTGGGGTCCACATGGGCCAGAGGGGCCGTCATCATGTCCATTGTGTCAAGACAAACCACGTCATCCCCCACACCGGCGTCTGCCGTGTCACGTTCCATCCACACAGATGTGTCGCCTGCAACACATCAAGAGACAAGTTGCAGAACGCGAAGTGACACGTTAAGTTATCTAACACAGACATTAGTCACACAAAACAAAGGGACAAGTTCTTCTTCTTCTTTTTTTTTTTTTTTTAATAGTAGAGGGTTTTACGGCGCTCGCAACTGCATAAGGTCATATGAGCGCCAAAGGGTGGGTGTCAAAAGAGAAGTCTTTACTGGGAATCAGACTTAGACTGCTCACCTCTTTAGCTTCAACAGCACAAGGTCTGCTTCGACTATCAAGGCACCCCAAAAATAGCAGGTCACAAGAGAGTGACAAACATACAAAAGAAGTAAAGGAGGATTAGGAAAGAAAAAGTAGCAGTTCCCTGTTGTAGATCAGGCACAGTTATGAGCTTGACACTCATGAGTCAGCCCATTTACAATTTTACTATGCTTGAACGAGAAATGTCCCCCCTTTGGGAATGGCCTTAAGACACTTCAGTCAGTGGCACTGCCCCGCAGGGTACAAGTTCTTCAACATTTGGACATTAGTTATACAAAACACAGTGATCGGTTACATAACACACTGAGACAAACTGCACAAATAACACAACACACAAAGACACATTACACAACAGACAGTGAAACCTGATCAAACACAGACATTAGTTACACAAAACAGTGACGCATTATATAACACAAACAGTACAAGTTTTACACAACACACAAAGTGACAAGTTATCCAACATTTAGACACAATTTAAACAAATCAAAGTGATCAGTTACATAACACACTGAGACAAGTTATACAAACAGCACAAATAATACAACACACAGACAAGTTCTCTAACATTTGGGCACACAATTTACACAAATCAAAGTGATCAGTAGTTTTTAGTAGAGGTTTTACGGAGCTTGCAACTGCATAAGGTCATATGAGCACCAGAAGATTAAAGGTGTTACAAGAGAGTAACAAACATAAAAAAGAAGGGGAGATAAGGACGACAGATGTTTCATTGGAAAGAAGAAGCAAACCACACCAAAGCACACGCCAACCACCCACAAAGTGATCACTGAGACAAGTTACACAAACAGTACAAATAACAAAACACACAGAAACAAGCTACGCGACACATACTCATAGCGATCAATCCCACAGCACACAACGATCAGCTACTCAACACGCAGATACAAATTATACAAAACACAGAGACTATCTTTACAACAAACAGTGACTAGCAGCACAACAAAATGTACAAGTCAAAGCCAAGGAAACCTCGGCCTGACAAGCAAACAAAATGTCTCCCTCACCTGCCAGCGTCTCCAAGTTGCTGGGACGGGTCCTCATTCTGATTTGAAAGCGATGTAAGTCTGTAGAGAACTGCAGCAGGTATTTTCCCCTGCAGGTGTAAAGAGACAAGATAGTTTAGTTGTAAGTATGAGGAGAACTGTAATCATATGAGCTCTCATCTGTATAAGACAAATGATGGACGCATAGAACTGTGCTTGGTGCTTTCTCCAATATAAGACACTAGACAGATGCAAGTGTGTCACAGTTGCATTTCCCTATATGTGACACAAGACAGATGTAAGTCTTTTTTCTTTCACATATGATGCAAAATAGATGCAAGCCTATTATTTGTATTTTCTTCTCTACAGGACAAGACAAATGCAAGACTGTACAGAAATGGAAAGCATACTTTTCCCTTCATGGGAGACAGGATAGATAGTGAAAAGACTCATGCTCTGTAGCAGTTTGGGATGAAGTAAGGGGGAGACAAAGTTTTGAAAGAATTGGCATTGAATGTGAAAACGTTCATTCTATGGGAATGTCATGGACACTTAAGCCAAGTAATAGTTAGTATAGAACTAAGGTGGAGACTGAAGCTGCATAGGAGTTGGGTGTTGGAGTAGGACAGAAACTTAAAGTTGGTGTTGAACTAAAAAAAAGACTTGAATTCCGTAGGAGTTGGAGCAGGAGTGCGGTGAAGACTTGAGGTCAGTAATAGTTTGTGTGAGCTGAGACGGAGATTTTGATCCTGCAGGAGTATTTGTAGGAGTGTGGCAAAGACAGAGTAAATAATATAGTTTGTGTAGAACAGAGATGAAAGCTTAAATCCTGTGGGATGTGGTGTAGGAGTAAGATGTAGAATTAATTTCTGTATGAGTCATGCAGTTTTAGTTTTAGCTTTTGTAACACTTTTATGGCACTTGCAACACAATACGGTCATATAAGTGCCGCAGGAATTGTGTAGGATTGTAGGGTGAAGATTTAGGTCCAATAGGCACTGATGTAGATAAGAAGAAACTTATTCTCTGTAGGAGTCGGGTAAAATTTTAGACTTACATTCGGTAGACATTAGTGTAGAAAAAAGGGGAGACTTAAGTTCTCTACGAGCTGGTGTAGAACTAAAAAGACTAACATTCCACAGGAACTGGTGCAGAAGTAAAATGAAGACTGAAATTCTCTAGCGCTGGTGTACAACTTCCAAGACTTACATTCTGTAAAAATTGGTGTAAAAGTAAAGCAATGTCTGTCGAGTTCTTGGAAGAGAATGGTGGAATTTTATCTAAAAGACAAGTGTACTCATCAATTTCCTGTAGGAGTGTAGGGGGGGGGGGGACTTAAGCTCTGTCGGTGTTTGTGTGAAAAAGAAAGTGCTGTAGAATTGGAATCAATCACGATAGACTTGTGTAGGAGTCGGGGTAGGAAAGTATGGTAGCGCCTTGAATTCTAAATTCTCTAGGAGTTGGTGTGGGCCACAGACAAACCCTTTCCACCTTTCCCTATCCTGGGCTAGCCTCTCTGTATTATTCCATGTCTTCCCACTTTACTGTACATCATTCACTGTGACTCTTCTCCATGTTCCACGTGGCCTTCCCCTTCATCTCTTACCCAGAAGATTCCAGTCCAACATTGAAAGACTTATACTACTTTAAAATATGATACAGACGAGGAAAGACTTACGTTCTGTACGAGTTTGTGTAGAAGCTGAGCTTTGGAGGTTTGCCCCGAGCCACCTCCACCTTGGGCTGCAGGCTGAAGCGACGTTTGTTGAAGGAGATTTTGAGGATGGAGCCCCACGGGTACTCTTGCGTGATACAGCGGCCACCATTGCCGGGCTCCGCCAGGACAAGACTGTGCTGGCTCAGGCCCGCCCACAAGAATGCTTGTGTGTCTGATTTGTTCTGTGGGGGGTTAATGTTGTATACTGTAGCTATACGTACGGCATCTTGGAGAAACCAGGTCTTTGTCAAAAGAATGAAATCAAATAGACCGATATTTTCCCACCTGCTGGGCAATTCAGATCAGTTTTTTTTAAACTTTTTTTTGGTGGGGGGGAGAACACATTATAAGGCCATTAAAAACTCATTTCTGTGTGGACTTTATTGAAAAATGTTGATAAAAGGCACAAAAAATGTAAAATTGCCATTTCCAAGGACACAAACTTTTGAAGACACCAAATTCTGTCGCCCATTTATCATTAATTTTACCTCTGACACCAGGTGACCCTCACCTCCTTCCATCACAAATATATCAACTTCTATTCACGACAGATGGTATACATCATCAAAAACAAGACAAATGAACAAGCTTTAAGATTACACCAATAACTCCACGTGTCAAAAAATCTATGAGTACCCGATTCTACTGTGTCGTGACACATATCATATATATATATGATGTTATACCAATGCAGAATTTGCTTTCATGAATAAGAAGCAAAAAGAATCTACCTGTTTTAACTAGAGTAAAATCACTACTGACCTTGAAAAGTTTGTAAAAATGAATGCCATACTCAGGCAAATGGCGCACATGCTGAAACACAAGGAAAATTCAATTAACTTTCTACGTAGAAACAATATTATTACTCGATGAAACACAAAACAGATGGACCAATTACTTGTTGAAAGTTTGTAAATGTCAACTTTCAAACTCAGTAATATTATTATCGATCTAGTCAAACACAGTGATAACTCATTTTCAAACACAATGAAGGCACACTTCCGAACACACTGATAGCACACTTATTAGCACACATTACAATGACAGCACACTTCCAAACACACTGATAGCACATTTTTAGGATATTTCCAATCACACAGACGGCACACATCCAGATGTAGACAGCACACATTTTTCTAAAAGGATCCCCCCCCCCCCCCCCGGTGCACACACACACACAATACACACGCATACACAATTCCTGGGCACAATACACTGCCAGCTCACCTTAATGAACTCTATCTCAGCCTGCGAGCAGGGGATTCCTTTGCAGGCCTTGTGCTCTTGGCTGCCTCGGGTATACACATAGCTGCTGCCTAGACGTCTCACCGCGGCCAGTGGGAAGTAGTGCTCGGCCACAAAGTAGTCCTCCCCCGAGGCAACGGCCGCTTGGTCCCCGTACTCGGCCTGCAAAGCCAGGCCCGCCAGACGGGCGAGGGTATCCTGGTCACAAGTCACTCGCTCTTCCAGAATGTCTCTTCTCAGCTGAAGGTACAGAAGATGGTAGCTGCTGGTGTGTCTGGGAAACAGATAACATAATAGCGTTTTATAACAAAATAGTGTTTTATAACAAAATAGTGTTTTATAACATAATAGTGTTTTACAACATAATAGTGTTTTATAACAAACATAATAATAGTGTTTTATAACATAATAGCGTTTTATAACAAAATAGTGTTTTATAACAAAATAGTGTTTTATAACATAATAGTGTTTTACAACATAATAGTGTTTTATAACATAATAATAGTGTTTTAGTTTTCATAAGAGTTTTACAGCACTTGCAACACAATAAGGTCATATAAGTGTCAAAGAATAGATGTGTTACTAGAGAGTAACAAACACAGAAAAAGAAGGAGGAGAGATAAGGATGATAGATGTTCGATAGGAAAGAAGAAGCAAACCACACCAGAGCACCCGCCAACCACCCACCGATAGATGTTTAACAGGAAAGAAGGAGCAAACCACACCAGAGCACCCGCCAACCACCCACTCATAATATTGTGCATAGTATACTTGGACATTTATTTAAGGAGTGTAATAAGGGGGATCGGGGGTCTCCAAAACTAACAGAAAATGACAATGTACACAGCATGTTTGTGAACCTGGCAAAATAGATAACAGAACCAACAAAGGGAAAGAGAAAAGGTAGGACCAACCAGGAGCACCCTCCAACCATCCGCCAATTTAAAAAAAAATAAAAAAATTATTATAGTAGAGGGTTTTACAGCGCTCGCAACTGCATAAGGTCATAAGAGCGCCAAGGGGTGGGTGTCAAAAGAGAAATCTTTACAGGGAATCAGACTTACTCTGCTCACCTCTCTAGCTTCAATAGCACAAGGTCTGCTTCAACTATCAAGGCACCCCGGAAATAGCAGGTCACAAGAGAGTGACAAACATACAAAAGAAGTAGAGGAAAATGACAATAGTAAGGATTAGGAAAGAAAAAGCAGCAGTTCCCTGTTGCAGATCAGGCACAGTTATGAGCATGACATGATAAATCAGCCCATTTACAATTCTACTGTGCTTGAAAGAGAAATGTCCCCCCTTTAGGAATGGCCTAAAGACACTACAGTCAGTGGCACCGCCCCGGGGGTTGACAAAAGACAGAAATTGTACTTAAAGAGATAAAAGACAAGTCATACACAAGGAGACAGAAGACAAAAGTTGTACACAAGGAAACAGTTTAAGTTTTAGTTTTAGTAGAGGTTTTACAGCACTCACAACTGAATAAGGTCATAAGAGCCCCAGAAGATTAGAATGGCCTAAAGACACTACAGTCAGTGGCACTGCCCCGGGGGGTGATCCGCCAATTTCAGACTGACAACAACAACAACAACAACAACAAAAGCAAGAACAACAACTACAATAAACAAAACAAAAAATAAAACTGAACAAGTCGCTTACCGAAAATCTGTGAGGGATTCTGGGTAGAACTTGACTCTCACATACAGCACGAAGGGGATGGGAGCTGCATGACCTTTGGGCCCTTCTCTCCAGCCCTCTGGTGACACTTTGTGCAGCTTAGAGTCTCCATCCAGGAAAAAATGCTCTCCATCTACACAGACAAGTTATTGTGCAATTATGCTACCTTAGAATCACAAAAGCTCTATCTGACATTTTTGGCTGGTTTGAGTTGCTAAGAACATAAGGTCAGAAACCAAATGTTCTGTCTGCTCTATCCAAATAGTAAGATTATTCGGAGTCGTTATCAAGATATTCAAAGAATTGCATTCGAAAAAGCTTGACATGCCGTGACACTCAAATTTTTTAACATCAAATTTCTCAAAATTAGGTACTGAGTAGAAAGAACTTTGTAATTCTAACGGTAGCGACTAGCAAGAGAAAAGTATAATTCTGATGTCTCATTATCATTAACGAGAAAATAGTTCTTGTGCAATTAGCAAGAGAAAAACATATGTTTACCACCATACCCAATTTGACTGCTTTCAATTACCTTCTCTTGCCATTTGATATTTCAACTTGGAAAATCAATAAGCAATTTTGAGAAGTCTTGGCAAAATATAATCATTTCCCCCCCAATCCTTTGACAGCTCACTTATAAAGCGTTTATTCTTTAATAACAATTTGATTTCAAACTATGAACAAAGGAACGAAGAATATACTCTCTCTATAAAAATCATGACCTCAAATGGTGGCATTTTTCCAATAAGATAAAAAATGACTTAAAATTGAAACAACAAGTATCAGTTGCTGGTAAATAATACAATATGATCTAGCAGGAGGGCCAAACCCATACAGTACCACTCAATGAACGATGAGAGCACAATGGCACACCAAGTATAATGTGAACATGACAGTGGCATACCACTCATGTCTGTGGGTACGGCAACACACCACTCACAGTGAATGTGAGATTATTATTATTGTTTCAGGAAGCAACATCCCTGCACTCCGGACATGTCCATTGATGCTCCGTTGCTCTCTCCAAAATGTTGGCGAGGGTCCTTCTACTGATTGTGCCAGTGCACATCTGGTTGAACGTATTTCTGTTCTTTCCTGCAAGGATGCCAGATTTTCCTCTTCCTCTTTTAATTCCCAAAAGCATCATCCTCTCCACGGCAGTACTGGCCTCTGCCTCCCTATCTTCCTCCTCAATCAGCTGGCGAGAGAGACATTTCAGGATCTCGACCCTATCTGGTTGAACCGTATTGTGAGAACATTCCACCCAAGTACTAGAACATGAACACGATGACATATGAATCATGTTTGTGAATATGTGAGGCAGCAAAATGAAATCAGGCGCTTGTCAAAATAGTGTAATCAAGGAAACCGGCATTTTTCTGGCCTTTGGGAAACCTTTTTCAAATTTTCTTTCTTTTTTTTTTTTGGCTCAATACCTTCTAGGTCCGTTAAAGAATACATTTCGGTGTGGATTTTATAGATAAACTTTGGCCGAAGGCACACAAAAAAAAAGTTAATTAGCAGTTTCCAAGGTCTCTCAAGCTTTGGAAGTCACCAAACTTTGGCGGCCATTTTCTCGCTAAAGTTACCTCTGCTACCAAGCGATCCCCCACCTCCTTTAAACGCAAATAAACTGACGTGTATTCAAGATAGAAGAGTGATTGTTTCATCAAAAGCAAAGGCAAATCAATAGGCTATATGATTA